AAGTTTCCTTTTCAATTATGATTTGATGCAACTTCGAATAATAAATAAAACGTGCTTGTGTTTATGGTGTTCTGTTTTCTCCTCTTATCCCCCTGCCGACATGCCATATCTTCCCCCAGTAGAGTAAATGAAAGGTGCTTGTATATGAGTATCTTGCTTGTTCTTTTTGTTTTTATCTTTTGCTAGTTGTTGAGGGTTTATGTGGCATTTCTCTTCTATATGAAAGGAAGGTCTTTGTTTTTATTTGTTGATGCGAAAGTTGGATTGCAACATCTGCAAGTGCAGTCTGCTAATTCTTTAGTAGTGAAATGCTGGACGCGTGTTTGAATTGTTGAATACATGGATTTTGTGGTGTTTAAATTGTTTACCTTCCCACCTTGTTTGCAGGCTTGTTGGTATCAATACAAAATGGCTTCTGATCTTAAGAATAGCCTAACCAAGGAATACGATGGCATGGAGTTGTGGGTGATAATTGTTGTCTGTCTGGGACTGGTTTGTGTATTTGTCCTGGTTGTTTCACTGTGGCTATCGTTTAGAAAGAAATCGAGAAGAGCAAAAAACATGCCTCCTGTTAGCTATATGCCTAAGGTTTCAGAGGAGATTAAAGAGATTGGTGTTGATCAAAATTCAGCAAATAATGATGGTTTCCCCAGCCTTCATGACAAGTTCGGTGACAAAGAAGCAGATAAAGTATTGATCCAACTAGAAAATGGTGATGATAGCAGCCAATCAGGCTCCTTTAATCATGTCGAGAAAGTTGGTGTTGGGTCTCAATCAGGAGAAGAGGGGGGCACCAAGGTAGCTTCTGTCCACAGGCCTTCTTCACATCCTTTGACGGCCCCGTCACCTCTGTCTGGCCTGCCTGAATTTTCACAGTTGGGATGGGGGCATTGGTTTACCCTCAGAGATCTGCAAGTTGCAACAAACCGATTTTCCAAGGATAACATTATTGGCGATGGTGGATATGGAGTTGTCTATCAGGGTCATTTGATTAATGGGACTCCTGTGGCTGTTAAGAAGCTCCTTAACAATCCGTAAGTTGGGGACAAGTTTGTTTTATAATCCTATAAATTTTTCACTGGACTATTTTGCAGAGTGGAAACTAGTTCGATGGTCTCTTAATGTTTCTTTTACAGAGGACAAGCTGATAAAGATTTTAGAGTTGAAGTGGAGGCTATTGGTCATGTGCGTCATAAAAACCTTGTTCGACTTCTGGGGTATTGCATGGAAGGAACCCAGAGGTATCATATCCTTTCCTGTTTTCTCTTTTATTTGGGAAAAAAAGTAGATTTTTTTAGCTAGATTTCTTTGTAGAAAGTTGAGGATAAGGTTCTGAATGTCACAGAAATGCCTTTAGTTTAATGTTTTACTAGAAGTATAATGCAGCATGCTTCTGGATAATTAAAATTTGTCTTGTGAATTATTTTGAAAAATGAAATTAATTTATGAATTAGATTATTGTATTTACAATTTTACAGAAAAAATCTGTACTATACTGTTTTGTGATCTCGCCTGGTTGCCAATGGTTCTTTGTATATAAAACTACAGAAAATATGTAGTGACATCCCAGTTACATGTCTAGTCTCAAGTTCATCAAATTGCTTATAAATATCTTGCAATTGATGATCCAGAATTTGCTTGCTCTTATCAGTTGTGTTTAAAAAGAACAACACCTTTTGCATGATCATAGACACATAAATTTCAGGATGTTGGTATATGAGTATGTCAACAACGGCAATTTAGAGCAATGGCTCCGTGGAGGTATGCGTCAACATGGATATCTTACGTGGGAGGCTCGCATGAAAATTCTCCTTGGCACTGCTAAGGCGTAAGTTCATTTTCACCTTATTCTGAGTTGTTTGCATTAATGTTGCAATCTGTTTCTTTCTCACTCCCAATTGCGTGTTGCAGGCTGGCTTACTTGCATGAGGCCATTGAGCCAAAAGTGGTGCATCGAGACATAAAATCGAGCAACATATTGATTGATGACAACTTTGATGCTAAGATATCTGATTTTGGTCTGGCCAAATTGCTGGGTGCTGGAAAAAGTCATATTACTACTAGAGTAATGGGTACCTTTGGGTGAGTGCTTTCTTTCAATCTGCTCCATGCAAATTAGTGGCATGCCAGTTCAATCTTCTTTTCTGTTGGCCTTTGTATCCAAGTTTGATTGTATTATTAAAGCTCCTCTGCCATTGATAGGAAATAATCTTTCCTTGGGGTTTTCTTCTATATTAATATTTTTCCTTTCATATGGTAAGATTAATGTCCTAATCAATGACTGTTCAGTTATGTTGCTCCGGAATATGCCAACTCTGGCCTTTTGAATGAGAAAAGTGATGTTTATAGCTTTGGGGTCGTGCTTTTGGAAGCAATTACAGGGAGAGATCCGGTGGATTATGATCGCCCTGAGAATGAGGTATACAATAAATGTTCCCTTTCCAGAAAGTAATCAAATTCCACTTAAAAGCAGCAAGCCCCTTGCTTTGGAGCAGTAATTGGCATGTTTTAATCTCTAGAATTTAAAATTATATTAGCTTTTCTTTAGTATTGTCAATGCTGGGGGTGTAGAGGCATGAATCCGGGGGTGTAAATTAGAAGCTCTATTCATTCCATCATGCAGTCTTCTTTGCTCCTTGTTTATGTGGATTTCACTGTCATATGAAACATAAAATGGAATCAACATTGATAATTCTCTTGAAATTATTCTTCTTTCAGGTAAATCTGGTGGAATGGTTGAAAATGATGGTTGCAGGAAGGCGCTCAGAAGAGGTGGTAGACCCCATGATAGAGAATAGACCAGCAACAAGTGCCCTTAAACGGGCTCTTCTAACTGCTTTAAGATGTGTTGATCCAGATGCTGAAAAAAGACCAAAGATGAGTCAAGTAGTTCGCATGCTTGAATCAGAGGAGTATCCTATACCTAGACAGGTTTGATTCTGAAATCATCTTTAGAATTCAAACTAAGTTGGTCACTTGGCCTCCACCTAGCGTTGTTATATGGATTGCTGAGAAGAATTTTAAACACAGCATCTGTTTTTGGTTCTGTGCAATATGGAATTTCTTACATCTATGTTGAGTTAGTATCTGTAAGATTAACCTGAAAATGTCTTGTGGATGGACAATTCAGGATCGGAGGCGGTGGAGAAGCCATGCAGGGGAGGGTGAGACAGCCTAATTCTGACACTGATAGGAGTGATAATCCAGGTTCAAAGTCAGATGGGAGAAGGAACAACAAAGCATAGACTTGGGGACCGTTTATAGAAGCTGAGCTCATGCATAAGGGCAATGCTTACATTCTTTCGACCCTAGAAAGTATTGAGCCTGCCTAAAAGTTGAGAATGAGGGCAGGGAGCTGTAGCAAGCAATTGAGGCTGGTTGCTTCCCATATCTCTGTGTCGATTTTTCCGCATCTATTATAGATGTTGTAGAGAATTAGTCGGTGTCTCCAAGTTGCCTTTGTGGTAGAACACCCTTGTCAGGAGTGGTGTGTAGTGTGTACAGATCTTGAGATTTTTGGTTTTATTTTTTATTTTGTTTTTTCATTTTCACTATATTTCTTCTGGGTCATAGTAATATCTGTTTAGTTCAAAGGATTACTGCAGAATTTTCCTTGATGGAAAGGCTAGAAAAAGGGATAAGAAAGATTGAAAGGGAATTTAATTTTTGAATACCTAGTGGCTGCCATCTACATCGTCTATACCTTTGTCTATTAAATGACAGCTCTCTATCTATTGAAGAGGAGAATTATTTTTAAACAAGGAATCATGTAAAATGAAGCTCACTTGAGCAAGACACCCTGTATTTCGCCTTCGCGGGTGAACTGAAGTTGGTTAGAGAGATCCAAAACAACCTTCTTTTGATTAATAAGCTTTGATTATGTGGTCTGACGATCCAGTTCATCCCTGTTTCAGTTGTTAAATGAGGCAGTTGATGACTTCTTGTCAGCTATAAGAAAGAATTCTTCGAGGTTTAGACAAAGCATATTCGTGGAGATTAACTAAAAAAACCATTCATTTAAATGAGCAAATATTCAATGATTCTGTCTTGGTACCCCTCAATCAACTGCAACTTTGGTTGGGGATGATGAAAGAAGGGGAAATCAGTATCCGAAAATAACATCAGTTAATTCTCTTCCATATTTGAACAGTCCGACCTCGAGCTGGTTTGATGCTGTCACATTCGAGTTGTGGTCTTGAGCGAGCAGGAACTGTGTGGCCTTGGGATATGAGGGTCTTGGCAGAAGATATTTGGGTTTGGTTTTGTGGTTTAATTGTGGTGGAGGAGACTTGGAGGCAGGCAAATAGAGGGTTGTGGTGGTCAGCGCGAGTTTGGGAGTGAAAATGAGGTCTGTAAATCTCTCAACAAAACCACTAACTTCAGATTTTCCATTTTCATTATCTTCAGCCAAGTTACAGATGTACCAATCAGGAGAACCATTCAGTAATCCGCACGTTCGTTCTTGTAGGATTTAACTAAAATGCGTTCAGTTCTATATCTCCATGAATAGTCTAGCATGCAGAGAACACCTTAAATTCTAAAGCTAATCCAGCAGTAAATGCACTGAAGAAAGAAGATGAGCTTTTCTAGAGACCTGAGAAATATTGGCCTGATGACAGTCATGATACAAGGATAGTAGAAGGGAGTAGGCTTTGAAGGAGAGGCTAATTGGATTAGCTTCCTTAGAACCAGGAAACAAAAAACTGTGGATGCTGGATGGACCTTCAACGTTTATTCAAATCTCTGGGGAGCAGGACTCAAAAGATGGAGATAGAACAGGAGCTCTTCTTTGATAGAAGCAGAAATGAAACTAATGGTACTAGATATTTTTCACAAAGGTAAAGAATATTATGGTTTGAAAATCTTTCATATGATCAGATCTTTGCCCGTTGTACTGCTCCCAGCTCTTGTTTCTAGTATAGCCAGGCCACTTTCATGTGCCAACAGGAATTGGTGGCAGGACAAAGTTTTGTGAGCAGATCATGAATGTGGCAGGTAACTTCAATACCTGTACAATATTGAACAAGTACTGAAAAGAAAAGGTGATAGTGGAAGGCTACAGGATTACAATATTGGTTGCATGTCTATGAAGCAAAGTCCAGTAAAAGATGGAGTAAACGCTATCGATTACACAGTACAGGAGTTCCACAGTGCATTTACCAACAACATAAAAGAAGATTTTGAGGTCAAGGCGAATTCAAAACGCTTAGTGTTTCACTGGGTCGGAAACAGATTGATATTTCAGAAGAGGCTGAAGAGCTGTCACTACTATGCTCATATTTGGTCGAAAATCAGCTTCGTATTGCACACATAAGGCAGCAACAGCAGAAAACTGTTTACAGCACATAACGAAAATCTATTAAACATTCCACAAGCAATTGATGCAAATTAAAAAATCCAGAATATTACAGAAGTTATATACCTTAGCAGCTGCTCTAGGATGGAATTTCCCATCTAATTTAGGATCAATGCATAGCTTCACCTTATCTTCACTCAGCTTCGGTGTGGCCTAATGCAACACAGAATTGTTCCAGTGATCAGCTATAACCATGCTTGCAAATCTACCAAACCAGAAAATTTAAGTACAAGAGCAGTAAAAATCAGAACCAGATAAGGGTATTACCCATGTCACAAGGCTCTGCTGTCCTCGTGGTAGTGTATGATCTACAGGTTTACGGCCAGTTAAGAGTTCCAGCAGGATGACACCAAAGCTGTAAATATTACTCTTTGAACTAAGCTGTCCAGTCATTGTATACCTGGCATTAAACAGGCAAGTTTCAGCATGGTTAACAATCTTAACATTAAGAGAGGGCTCACCACAAATATTTTCCATTTTAGCAATGTGATGGGTTGGGTACCAAAGCAAAGCCTATACGGTTCATAATACGAGAACAGAAGCTTACTCTGGAGCATGATAACCGAAGTTTCCAAGAACACGAGTGGAATAAAGACGTGCAGCCATGTCAGGGGCTTGATTTGACAAATCGAAATCAGCAATCTTAGCAACATCATCATCAAAAATTAGCACATTGCTTGATTTAATGTCAAGGTTGTGGATAATATGACGCTCTGCCTTTTCATGGAGATATTCCAATCCTCTTGCTGCTCCAACTGCAATTTTCACTCTTTGTGCCCATGATAGAGTAGGACCTGGCTCTGTTCCTTTAGCACCTTTCTTTCCTGTATAACCCAAGTTGAAGAAAATCTTTGTATTACCAAAGAGATGAAAATTACTGATCAAATAATTCCATCCAAAGATTTGACTTTGGATGGGTTACCTCCTTTTCATGGAATACACACACTGCAATATCCAACGTTACTCCAAGCTAATCATTCACAGAAGATTTAAGATGTTCATAAGCAGCTTTCTGAATAGGAAACAGGAATAATGCCATGGTATTGTTTACCATGTAGAATATCATGAAGGGATCCTTGAGAAGCATGTTCATATGCAAGGACACGGAGAGGGCCATCAACGCAGTAACCAACCAGCTCAAGAACATGTGCATGTTTTAATCTTGAGACCATAGAGACCTACAAAGGTATGTGCCAAGGGATGAAATCTTATTCAGGAAGCCGCATACTATATAGCAAAGTCGAACACAATCACTTCTGTGCATATGCCTAACCTGCGCTAGAAATTCTTGGTCTGATTGCTTGCTTGAATCCAGCTTTTTGATAGCTGTTGCTTGACCACTTTTCAGAACAGCATAGTAAACTCTTCCAGAAGAACCCTCGCCAATTACAGCACCAGCAGTAAAATAACCAGTCATTTCCTTGAGTTCATCCATTGAAATGGCAGGGACAGCTATAGGTTGAATGTTTACAGTCTGCACATTATTTGATACAGGCTCCTTCACGCGATTAGCAGCAGTATTGTCTGCATACGAAACAGCTATTCAAATTTCAACTTATATCATTAAAACTAGAAGCCATGGAAGATGGAAAAGAGAGAAATTAGGAAGGAAAGGATTGGCACGATGCCAATACGTGCATGATATGCCTGTATTGGATAACATGTAGATCCAAACTTGTCAAAATCTTGGTGCTAATAACTTGATAAAAAAAGCTAAGCATGCTAATAAATGGAAAATGTGAATCGTGCAATATATATGATCAGCATCTCTCCACAGTTTCGGCAAACAGCAATAGAATGAGTGAAAAATAAGGTAGTTAGGGATCATGGATTTACTTGATGTGTGGTTTGGCAGAAATGGTCCAGTTTTGGATGCTTTATGAATATCATCATCCTTGCAACAGCCGAAGCAACTCATCATTCTCTCTTCAAAGATGCCCCCGGTCATCTGAAAAACAAATTGAGCTTACATATGTAGGGGGGGTATGTCCTTGAAAGATGTAACTAGGCTAATATCATTGCCATGGATTTGAAGTACTAGAAAGCAATTAAGATGCTGCCACGAGTGCTTCAATTCCAATTGGATGATGCTCTGTGTATTCAAAATAATGTTCAACATTGGCTGCACCAATCTAACTAACTTCCACATTCAAAATTGAAGTGTCAAATTTCAGGGCAATATAAAATTACATTTTATACTCCTCATTTCTACTTCTCCAGGATGATGCATCATGCAGGAATCATTGGTTGATTAGCCTAGTTACAATTGAAAGATTATTAGCCTTAAGTCTAGTCCACTGGATTTGTTGCATAGAGGCAGCAACTGCACATTCTTTGTATTTTTTTCCCTCAAGAAGCTTCATTGATCAAAAGGAACAAGAAAGAACTTACCCTGATAAAACAAAAGAAGTAAGAATCCAAGATAGGAGTACAAGAAAAACAATCAGAGAAGTAGCCACTGATTACATAGAACAGAAAAACTAGGATCATCGACAAACTGCAAATTCCTTGAATGATCAATCAATTCAAATAACGAAGAAATGTCAAAAGGAGAAAGATGAAGAAACAAGAACAAGACCCTGCAGAAATCCAGGAAGGATCATCATCATCATCATCATCTGTGTACGTAATTTTGATATTCACCTCCTTACAGACAAGCAAACACAAGTATAAAGAGAGAGATTCACCTTTTTGATGATAAGATGAACACTTGTCACGGACGTTTACCACCGCCAAATTCTCTGCCTCCTCGTTCTTCAAACAAATTCAGTGTAAGTCTTCCAACAACTATGTCCTTGTATATTTAGCATGTAGCAGAAATACAGGCGGTGGTTTTTTGTTTCTTTCTAAAGACTAAAATAATAACAATAAAAAATAAAAATACTAAGGAAAAGAGCAGAACATTTGTTTTAAGATTACATGGTTTTGCGGTAGTTAGTCTGTCCTTTATACTTCTTTTGACCCAGAGAGAGAGGGGGGGGGGGGGGAGAAGGTCTTTTGGCTACTGAGAGTCTTTGTCGTTGCGTGTTTACTTCCCCTATCAATCCTCAATATTTATTTCTTGTTTTGACATTTCATAATAAACTGCCAATCTGCCCTCATAATTTTTTCTTGAGTTTTCGAGGAAAAAATTCCATGAATCAATCCTCCAATTTGTTTGAATCATTTGTATTCAGATTAATGTATCTTTTCTGTTTGAATCCAAAATAACAGTGATAGAAGGCAAATCATCCATCGATCCTCGCATTCTTTATATTGCTTGAGAGAAAATAAAAGATTAGAAAGGGGAAGACTTTCTTATCCCTCTTTACTTTTAACATGGTTAGTCTTTTTTTAAAAACCGTTGAAAGGGTCTCAGTTCATGTTGAGAATATTCTATCGTTCGATAGACTCTAGTCCCCACTGCTGTTGAATAGAACGAGTACAATATCCGTGTTGACCACGCCATTTCTCATGCGAGTCAATTAGTTATGGTGTGTGAAGAAGCATAGAAGAGCAAAGAGTTCCAGACAGGTTGCATGGATGCATCTTTTACAGATCGACAACGGGTTGAGAAGGGAGAAGAGCGGGTTGAGAAAGAAGAAATCCATAGCAAATTTTAGCAGCTGAAGCTGCTCGAGAAGTCCTGTGTTTTCCAAATCTAACCAATTTTACATTGAAGAGGAGAATACGATTTGTATTTAATCAGTCATGGGTGCTCAAATCAACCTTATTTAACAAACAATGCATGACAGTCATAATTCAAAATAAAGCAATGTCTTTTCACATGTCCAGCTTCAAATTAGGTTGGTACACTCATACCCAAATATCTTTTCAGGTGTCCAGCTTTAAATTAGATTGAGGTACACTCATATCCAACTCTATATAGGGTGTAACTGCATGCTTAGCCCCACAGTAAGTCCAAATGTGACCACATCCAATTTTTTATTGGATGGGATGTGTTCTCGTCCAGTCCCCTAAATGGGCCCAAATACGACCACGCCCAACTTTATGTTGGGTGTGGACATGTCTTCATCCCATCCCCCAACTGGGCCCAAATATGACAGGACATGTCTAGCTCCATGATGGGTCTAGATGTGACCATGCCTAACTCTGCATTGGGCGCAATTGCATCTACTCCCAGTTCCATGTTAGGCGTGGACATGACCGCATCCAACTTTATGTTGGGTCAGGACATGCCTAGCTCAACGATGGGTCCAGATGTGACCACGCCTAACTCTATGTTGGGCGCAGACGAGTCCTCATCTAGTCCCTCGACTTGGCCTGGATGTTACTATGCCCAACTCCATGTTAAGCCAGGACACGACCGCGTCTAACTCCACATTGGGCCTGTACGCGTCTATGCCCTGCCTCTTGGTGGACCTGGACATGTCCATGCCCAGCTCTACAGTGGACCTGGATACATTTGCGCCCGGTTTTCTGCTGGGCGTTGGGCATGGATTGAGCCCAACATCCTTTAAATTTGGTGCATAACTGACAGGTCACTCTACACCAAGCTCCGTATACTCTGGGTCTGATTTAGTAATTATAATACCCATCACATCTTATTAAATACGAATAAGTAGCCCATACTTATATTAATTAGATGCGATGACATGAGTAGTAAAATAATATTATTTTACTATTACAAGATTACATCTCTACCTTTCCTACGTTGTATGAAGCAAGTCAAATAAAGTAATATAAAAGGAAGCATGAATATACAAAAAAGGAGAAGAGACAGGTACTCAGGGATAAAAGCTCATTAATACTTCCATTAATACCTTTGGTTATGATTGTGCATCAAAAGTGTCATTAAGTCTCTTGTTTTACATATGTATTTATTGTTTTTATTTGGTTGTTTTTATAATAATTGATGTGTTTTTTAGTAATGAAGTTTGTTTTAATGTTTCGATAGGTTTTTGGAGCTTAAATGAATTAATTCAGAAAATTCAACGTCGGAATTCAGAACAAAGAATTGAAGAGACATTTAGTTGAAGATTGAAGCAAATATTGGTTCAAATAAGTGCTCCAAATTTGTCCCAAAAATCAATTCTATTCCAATTCTAGAAAAGAATATCATATGATTTATTTCAAGCCCAAACTTGCCTTATGTTGTGTGCAAACTTCAACCATTAAACACTCAAGGTTTCAATGTCAATCTTAGCCCAAATAATAAGTACATTTGTATACTTATTTGATGCTCAAATTTAGCCCAAAATCAGCCCTAAATCAACCCCAAATCAACCTTCAAATCAACCCAAACACAATCCATGATCTTACATGTCCACACAACAAATAACAATTGATTTATTTTGGGTAATCCATTGATCCAAGAAGGTAAGCACATGGATGGAAAGCTGGAGGGGATATTTTAACATTATTTTGGGTCAAAAAGAAGAAGGAGACACCTCATAAATGAGGAAGAAAAACGTGCACCAAAGTAGTTGTAAAGCTGTCTTGATTTGATTTTTCAGAACACCTTTCGGTGTTTTGCCCATAACTTTTGACTCAGGTGTCCAAATGAGCTGTTCTTTAATGATCTGGAAAGGTGACAGAATTTCCTATAAATATGTCTCTAATAGACTTCTCGAAAAAAAGCTTCTAAGAGGGTCGAATTGCTGTCCAAAGTTAGAGTCAGATTTGTGTCCGAATTTTTTCTGAAATTGTATTGTGTTCTTCTTTATAGATTTCGGTTCTTTAGTTTGTAAAACTTATTATTTCAGTTGGATTCAAGTTCTTTCATGTTTATTGAAGTGTTCTTATATATAATCATGGTTGGCTAAACTCTTTCTTGGATCCAAATCAAGGATAATGGTGATTGAGGTGAGTTCTTTAGGATATGAATGAATCTTAATGTTTATCTTCTTATTTTCTTCATGAATGCTTTATTATTGTAAAGAAATTTTAGAAATCATTTAGGTAATGTTATAATCTTGAATTTTTATGCACAAACTTTAGTTTTGGTATAGAGATTGCTTGATTCAATGTCTTACTTAATATGAAAGTACTTGTTCATTCTTAAGCAATAATCAATCTTCATCTTTCTAATCTTCATTGTAATATCTTCCGATCTAATATCACCATCGTTGATATTAGGTTGAGTTATCTTATATATGTTGAAGAAATCACCAATACATCACCATTAAAATTGATTTGGACCAAGACTTACTTTTTCTTGTCATTTAAAATCTATTTACATTTTTTTTTTATCTTTAAAAACAAATCCATCAATTATTTTCAACCAAGTTATTGTTAATTTAATTCCTCTTGAGTTTTTTTTGTTACTTAGCTTAATTTCCAGATCTAGCTCTCTGTGGATATGACCTCGATCTTACCGAGTTAATTGCTACATCGCACACTCGTGCACTTGCGAGTTAAAACAAGCCGATCATAAAAAGCGGTTAAGCAGGTTACACCAAAAATATTCCTAGTACTGACCTGATCTTTAGAGGGTCCCTCATCAACACTCCTAAAAGATTTTATGCAGGTAGTTATTCTAGAAGAGCTGACATTTCCCTAGAGAAAGATTTGCCTAAGGAAAAGCCTGTGTGGTCATTGAATTCATCATAAAGTATTTAGAGGGATTTCAAGGAGTAATTCACCTTAGAAAATTCCTTGTGATTTTTGTTACCTCATCAGTTGGCGTCGTTTGCGGGGACCTTATGAAAAGCTAATTACTTCTCCAACAAGAAACTAAGCTTTGATATGTAGCTCTATCTATTAGACCACTATGGAAAATCCACATACACTAGGGTCACGAATGCCCACATTGCTGCTGGTACATCTGTCCAACCCTAGATTGAGAAGATGGTTGAGCAGATATGTCTGCTGTCAGAGAAGGTCATCAGGTTAAGAGGGCAGCTTATATTTCATCCTCAACCTCTTTATGATGCCCTTACACATGATTTACCACCTCAACCACAATGAACCCCTATAGCTCGGAGACCCCTCAGTTAGGCCGAGGGACATGGACAGAATGAAAGGGAACCACCCAAACAATGTTCTCAAATCCTAAATCGAGAACATTCACATCGCCCCACAGTTCTATTAAAAAGTGAACATTCATGTAGAAATCACACTAGCCATCGTGGAAGAGAAACAAAGCACCCTTCCCACCGTTCCATGCCAGATTTGTCCAATTTATCCAGTTCACACTAGGGACGACATAGAAAAAAGGCCGATGAGGTCTCAAAGCATCAGCGACCTATCCAAGAGAGTTATAGAGGCTAGAGTACCCAATGAGTATTTGTTCGCAAAGATTAGCTTAGAAATGTATGATGGACTTACAGACCTTTAGGAATATATCTAGAATATAAGAGGGAGCTCTAAGCTGGTCATTTATGATAATGATGCAATGTGTAAGATATTACCCACCACCTTCATGAGGAAGGT